CACATTCTTGTATTGAAAAAAACAACAAATAATGACAAAATATTACTACGATATATTAAATTCCTCATATTTGAACAAAAAGTATTTCAATTGTTTATCTAGCAGCACAAGGGGAATAATTCTGTTAAAGAGACTGAAACCATTTAACTTAGAAGACTGCCTTTTGTACATTATTATCAATGAGGTCAACTGAAACTTTCGCAGGAAGAATTCTACATTTGATTCTGTAAGGTGATATCACAACAAAAATGTCTGTCTCAAATTTAGCATTTGAACTATAACATATTCTGTTACATGTCTTTTTGTTTAGTCTGCATATAAAATAACTGAAGCTGTTTTCTGTACTGAAGTCATTATTCTTTTTTTTTTTTTGTTGTTTTTTGTAGTTTACTGTTAGAGCCCATTCTAAAGATCTCAAAATTTAGTGACAAATTTGTGAGTGTAAAAATTTTTAAAAATACGTTTTGATGATCTTTTAACATTTGTTTTATTTGTCTATGAAATCTTTACATTTGTTGATAGATATTTTTTTGAAATGTATATTAAAATGTAGTTGAAATTTTACTTCATTAAATTTTATAGATGAATTTCAGCAGATGTCAAAAAACTATGTCAATTGATTATTTATATTTGAAGGCCCACAATACTCGGTACTCTAAAATAATTTAGTGGGCATTATAGAGTTAACACTACAGCAATAATATTAATACCATAGCAATGAAAACTACATTTTTAAAAAAATTGTAATAGACATGCTCTTCTGTTATTGTTGTGTGCATTTAACTCTATGCAGTCTGAAAAATAAACATTTTTCTTTTAAGCCTTCAATTTGGTGATGGTGCTTTTATTATTTCTGTGCTTTTATTATTTCTGTGCTTTTATTATTTCTGTTTCATGTCTCTTTAAACTTATTGGTTGGTAAACTGTTTTGTCTGAATGTGTTGCAGTCAATTATAAAACTTCAACCATTTATTATAAAGCTTAATTTCAACTCAACTATTTAATAGGCTAGTGATATCTCACAATTCCCTTTAGAAGAAATGAACAGCATTGTGGTGATCATCCTTAATGAAACTCAAACATTGATTTCTCTTAAGGACATCAACCATTTTACTGTAGGCCTCAACAGATTACATCCAAGCCCTTTCACTTTGACTAGTAAAGAAACTATGACTTAACAAAGTATTCATCTTTTAAATTGATACCCAGTGTTGCTTTAAAAATATTATCCACTATTAATGATTGCAACTACTGCTATATAAAGAGCAAACTTATAAGATCATTGCTGCCCAAAGTACAGCCTGCAGGTCAGATCCAGCCCGCCAAAATGTCAGCCCAAAGTGTGAAAAATTCCCCCCCCCCCTCTTTTTCATAATAAAAAAAAAGGTTGAATAATGTATCTACATATGTTAGGGCCCTCACTTTTCACTCATTGGTTTGTAACGACTGTTACAGTTCATTTATCAAATGGGATCAGAATGTAGAATTTAACACGAAAAGATCTTTACTTTTGGAACAAGCCGCAATATTTATTTGTCAAGAAAGTGTGGCTGTTTAAAAAACAAAACATATTGTTATAAACCTGGTGGTGGCACAGAGAGGGGTAGTGGTGTGTGTGTAGTCAGCCGACGCAAATCGCCCCAGGCCAGCGCTAGACGAGCGGTCAACCGTGACGAGTTACAACGGTCAGCCGAGTCGAGTGTCAACAGGACGGTTCGGGAAGGATCGCCGTCGTGAACAAAGCTCAGGAGCGTCACGAGAGTTGTTGTCATCTGACCACCTAGAAACGTCGAGCGGCGTTCTGTCCGGTTCTAGAAGGCCAGTAGGGACCCTATACAAGAGCGGAGGTGTCGCAGTCAAGACGGTTCAGAAAGGAGGTTCACGACAAGAGTTCAGAACACGGTCGACTACAGCACAGCTCAGCGGTGTGGTTCTGTACGGAGCATTACGACGGTTCAGTGGGATTACTATTAAGTACAGTTGAGACGAACGGCGTCTTGATTTTGGTCTGTGATCGAGTCCGACACAACGAGCCTAGTGTGAGAAGTCAGTCCTGAACTGTTGAACCCAGTGCAAGCCCGGAACGAGACGGAGAGGCCAGTGCAAGAGTTGATACGGCGGTACGGTGTTATCGGAGAGATATTTGTACAGTCTTGTGTTACGTGCTGCCAATTGTACAGTATTCAACTATTAAAGTGTTACGTTACTGGGGAGCCCTGAGTTGTCAAGTTCTTTAAGTTGGTGGTGTATGGTGCAGTTTGCAGAGAGCCTGGATAGTGAGATTCGTAACAATATAATGGCATTATGAAACAAATATGACGGCATTCTTGGTTTGAGCTGCAAATAAAAGACTTAAACTATGCCTAGAGATTGGAGGATTTATGAGAATATTTATGAAAAAGAGATAAGAAAATGAGTCTGCAAAAATTTTGCACACATTTTAAGTAGACAAATGAAGCCACTTTCCGACACGTAAAAGGATAAACTTCCAATATCTCTTTCATTAATGTAAGTATCTATCAGATAGTTTCAGGCCAATTTCATTTAGTTTTTTGTACCTTTTCCATTACGTGGCCCATGACACAAGTGTCGAAAATTAAAATGGTCCTCGGGTCAAATTAGGTTGGGCATCACAGTACGATTTGAAAATAATTATCCCAATTAAAAGGGTAGTCGTATTTAATTAATAATAAGGTTCAATTTAGAAGCTCAAGGATGAAGTTTGTTAAGATTTAGGATGAGTGCATTGTTTCCAAGAAATAACATTAATACTTAATAAATTGCCAAACAAGTAACTAATTTACTCACTTTCTGGCTAGCTATCAGTTTGTCAACCAAGGAAAGAATAATATACCAAACCCAGACATGCCTACCCCCAAGACCCAGAATGTGGAACACTCAGGTTGAAAATGTGGAATTTTAGGCCCCAATGTGGAACATACACGCGTTTACGTTTGTCAGCCATATTGTACGCAATAAATAAAACTTCAATTATATTACTTTAATAACAATACTAGTTAGCTTATTATAAATTAGATGTAAATTGTATAATTAAAAGTAAGAAAACCTTTAATTCATAATTATGTCCTTTGTTTAAAATCAATAGCTCTAACTTATATATTATATCAATTATATGATTAATTCTAACCAAAATGTATTCTAATGACCTGGGCTCAAATGTTACTATCTATTTTTATTTGTTACTACTAGATCTAAATCTATTGACTAGATCTAGTCTAGGTTATTCTAGATCTACTTGATTATCTATCCTTTTCTAATTCTAGGGCTCTACTCTGGTCACACTAGAATGTGACTAGATGTCTCTAGTTCTAGATCTAAAATAATTTAAGAGTCTACTAGTTACTAGTACTAGTCTAGACTATATCTAATAAGTCCTCTAAGTCTAAGTGCACAGTTTATAATAATTATATTATAGTTATAGATCTAAATATTTATGTCTAGATCTATAGTCTATAGACTTAAGAACTAAAATAAATTTATTACATAATGATACATAAAAATCTAGAGATCTATCACCTTCTGTCTATTTCTAGATACTAAGATAGCTCTAGATCTAGAGTCTACTTTTAGTTATCTAGAGCTAGCCCTACTTCTAGATCTAGAAACTAATTTAGACTATGACTATATAATTTAAAGTAGATCTATAGCCTTATTTAGGCCTTAGCCTTACTGTGTCGAACTCTTAAGTTAATTAATTACATTTAGGTCTAGATCTTTAATAACGACAACGTATTTTTTTTTGTTTTCTTAGATGGAAACCAGTTCAAGGAGTTAGTGTTACAAAAGTCAGATCTATGATCTACTAGAGTAGTACTAAACTTTACTATCTATCTAGACTAGATCTATCTCTAGAATAAAGTCTAGATCTATATCATATCTAGTAATCTATTTTTTTCTAGTGACCTAGTCTAGCCTCTAGTTTCTTAGAGCCATTGTCGGGAAAAGAAAGGGATTTGAACGGAATATTTTGGCTAATTTACTAGATTCTAAGAATAGATCTAATATCTAGACCTAGACTACTAGATCAGTAGATCTATGTCTAGAACAAGCTCAACCATTTCTTCGTAAATTTAGGACAAACCGGGTCCGGGAGGAGATGAAATGTAAACAATTGACACAGACCTATATATATATATATTTTGCACTCAGTATATTTTCAATTCGCACTATTAATAAATAATGAAAAAACGGCGATTTTTTTTTAGTGTCGGAATTCAGACTTGGCGGAACAAAAAATCGTGAATGCGGAACGGCGGAACATGTGAGCTTTTTTGATGATTTTGCGGGACGGTTCCGCATAATGCAGGACTGTAGGCATGTCTGCAAACCCTCTTTTTTAACAATTATAGTTCTACCTATTTCCATAGATGTTCTTGGACGACTGTATTATCTCTAAATAAGTTCTATAGCTACCCTATATGTAACTGTTTGAATAAGCTGATAGTTGTAGGGCTTTAAGGTAAAGCAAAATTGTTTACAATCACATTTTGTCTAGTGCAAATGAAACTTTCTGTAGTTTCATTTTAAAATCCGTAGTCTAGTCAGTTGGTTGGGTCAAGTAACATATATATTTTTGTTAATGACTGTATATAATTCATAAACACACAACTGAAATCATTGATCTTTTCACCAGTACATTTAGAACAATATTTTAACTTGTTATATATAGATCTATTTATCCCATTCTGTCCACTATGAAATTAAAAGAGTATTCAATAAATATTTTAATCAACTGATGCCTTTCATAAAACTAAGTACCGGTATTACATTAAGCTTGAGTTCAATGGAATATATTACCACACAAACTCCTAGTGAGTCAGTATGCAGACAATACAAATGAACTTTTAAATTCTGTTCCCCCCATTTAGGAAGCTCTCATATCTAATTTTAAAGTGTAGATTTCTTATTCTCTCGTCACATGTTTTGATAGTAACTGGGGTATGTCATCTGTAAGTAATAATTCAGGCAAACAAAAAAAGATCTGTTACAGTGTACTTTTAATTCTCCTTCACTTGATTCATAAATAGAATGCAATATGCAGACACATTCTTTGCTAAATAACAAACAGAACTCAATGACTTGTTTTCCATGGGGGTGGCTAATATAAATCAGTAGTCTACACTACACATAATAAATAGACTATTATGATGAAATAAGAAAAGATGAGATTAGTATTGCAGCGGTGATATAGCAAACTTATGTCTGCCAGATTCAACTTCTCCAAATTGAGATGTTGATTGTCATAGAATGTACAAGAAAGACACAAATGAAAGACAACATATTTTATAGATCTGTTCTTTTCAATCTCTAGAAGACAAGACTTAAAAATCTAGTCAACTGAACCAAGATAACTTTGCAATCAAATTAGCATATACACAAAATAGGTAAACCTACTACTTAGCTTCATCTCTTGACTAATTACACAAGCAAGCTTTTAAGTTAGATTTGCCATTCTAAAACTAAGATCTTTAATTCTAATCAAAAGAACATTCATCTATGACTTCCAAATTCTTCTTCATGACCCACATTTCCAATTTATAATTGGGATATGCAACAAACCTTGGATAATGAGGTACACATTTACTTTATGTACTTTAAATACACCTGATGTTAAAACCCACAAATCACCTTAGGAATATAGACTTGTTTAAAAGCATTTAGTAATACATAGATTTTCATTATATACACACACACATATATATATATACATATATATATATACATATATATATATACACACATACATATATATACATATATATATATATACACACACATACATATACATATACACACATATATATATATATATAGATATACAAACATATATACATAAATACATATATTTATAAACAAAATAAGATGACTTGAATATCAGAGAATTGATTCTACCTGCTCTGCCAATGAGCTCTAGTATTAAATTAGATGATTAAAATTAAACCAAATTAGTCTAAAAATAAAAGTATTTATAGGAAAAATCAAGATGTATTTGATATAGTAGGGGATTAAACTTAAATATTTAAGACATCTTCATTTAATTACAAGAACAAAGGCAAGTTTGTACATTTGGAGTATTACTAGTCAGACAATATAAAATAAGATTGTATACACAAATTTTTGATACAAGTCAGAAAACACTGCATAGATAGTGCTCATTAGCTAAAATTTTGTCAAAAAACTCGAAGTGGTTCCAAGTGAACATAACATTCAGCGTTACACTTCATTATTCATAGACTAGCCACGTTTCTGTATTTGCGCTATTGAATTAGAAACACACCTTTAATAAGTGTTGTAAACCTAACTTCTTAACATCAATTTTGCTTTCTTTTGAAAAAAAAAAAAGTAACCACAATAAAACCTAATTATATATTTTCTTAGTGCCATGTTTTTTTTTAAACTATATTAATGCTTCATTATTTGGCTTTAAAAAAAAAGGCTAACATTAAAATGGTGATTTTTTGTAATATGAAAAAATACATTTTAATGCCTACATTTTAGAATAGAAATATATCAGAAAACAATATAATAAATTATAATGCTAAAAAAAAAATATTTTTAAGATTTCACGAAGGCTTAGTAAAACGTGATTATGAAGATGGGGTAAAATGTCAAATTTAAAAATGGACATTGTGCAAGAAATGTGTATACAAAACAAATTAATAGGCTTTAAATAATGCTCAGGTTTTTCTATGGGAAATAAAAGAATTCTCAAATCCTATCTAAGGCACATTATGTCTACCAGTAGTTGTCATCACAGATATTCTTTCTGGCAGGAAAGATCATTTCATTCTCTTTAAAAAAAAATAAAAATTGCAATTAACTGTTGGTCACATGTATGGTTCAACAAGTCAAAATAAACAAAAATTGCATGTCAAACAGAAACAGAATGCTGCAGTTTTAAAACAAATGTTGACTAAATGTTTTTAAAAAATACATCAACTTGAACCTTACTTTTCAACAAGTCAATCAAGCCAAATACTGAAATTGAGTAGACAGTTTATTAACTCTGTATAAAAGTCTAGTAGTTTAAACATAAAATATACATATATATAAACAGCTGGAGTTAAAAACAGTCTCATTTGTGGTTTAGCTGTAACAGTTGACAAAATCAGCCCATTTCAGGTGGTCACCAAAAAGTCTGAGCCCTATTAAACTGGTACCTGAAAGATAATTTTTTTAAAAATTATTGATTGATGGATGGAATATCAATTAGAAAGTTATAGACCAACTGAAGAGTTTGTTTTTCTAAACTGATATAGCGATTGATTTGGATAGTACATAGCTTTAAAGTTAGTTCCTAAAAATGTGAGATTTTAGAAAAGCGTATTTATATTAAAAAATTGTATTTTGAAAGTGTCAAAAATAACGAGATTTGAAAATCAGCTTCAATGGACAAAAGCAGAAGGGACTTCAGCTTAGGGGTGGGAAAAAATGTAAATAAAAATAGACATTGATAGTGATTCAAATGATATGCATATCTAGATCTTTTTTTTCTAGCTGTCAAACAATTTTAAATGACACTTATGATGGGATGGACCAAAATGACCCTGAAGATAACTCTTCTACTTTTTCAAAATATATTATGGTATAGAGCAGATAATTTAATTAATATAATTATAGATAGATTAATAGACAAATCTAAATCTAGTCTAGGACTAGTCACTATTATACTATAGGCTATACTAGATCTCTATAATAATAATATACAAGGTCTCATGCCTAGATCTAAAAAAATTTAAAAAACGTAGGTAGACCTATACTAATATAAAAATCTATACATTCAATATCAAGTTTATATTGTCTAATGTCAATACTAGTCTAGATCCAAAAGCATTTTTTAATTTAATTAGTTCTTTATATATGTAACTACAGATTTCCTGACGAACATTCTTTCATTAGACAATACCGTAATGAATCATGTACTAAAAATTAATTCGTTTAATTGTTTACTTTATATCCCATCCCTAGATCTAAAACTAATTCATAAACACATAAACATACTAATTATAGTCCATTCATTTCATATTTTGATCAAATAAACATTCAAATTTGGTTATCTAAAGCATTATGTTTAAGAGACTACATTCGTTTACAAAAGCTGCGAAGCCGAGTTGAGATAGGCCTAGATCTATATTCATTCATGAATCGGGTACTAAAAATTATTGTTTAATTGTTCACTTTATAATCCCATTCATTTAACAAAGCTATCGCTCTTTTCGTTTTTAATAGATATGAATGTATCGGCTTCGGGTAAACCCATTTTCGCAAAACTAATTTTATTTTCGTAACGAAAGAGAAATAACGTGAAAGGATCATTAGCTAAGTGTAACATACATCTAAGTCCAATCCACTACATTAGTAAACACAAATTTAGACCCGCAGGTAATGCCAGGCTAGTAATTATATATAATAAAGATCTAGTATCATCTTATAGTCCTACTACCTAGCTAGTCTATGGCCTAGATCTAAATCTAATCTATCTATCTCTAATTCTAGCTAGGCCTTCCAACACTAGTACCTAACTATTATAATACTTGACTTGTAGTAATAGTTTATAAACTAGTAGATTTAAGTAGATCTAGAGTAATCTAGACTAGAGTGTAGCTGAGTCAATAGAACAAGTACGCTTATGTCTAGGTTAAGTCTAAGCCCAGTCGCCAACATATTTTTATGTTTGAATTTGTATATCTCTGTAATAGTTAGACCTAGCATTTAACTCTTTCTCTCCGTAATTATCTACCAAATTCTGGTGGAATCAACGTTGGCATCGTCTGTTAGGAGAGAAAGAGTTAATAAAGATTTTTCATAGATATTATATCTATTAGACAAGATCTAGATCAGGGGTGTGCCCACAGATTACACATATAAAAAAAATAAAAATATTTAGAATAGTCAATTTTAAATATCTATATAAATTATTGCAATTTCTGGGGGCTAAAGAAACATTGTCTTTATATGACATTCTAAAAAAGCTTAAAGTAAACAATTATTTTTATTTGCAATTTTTCGAAAAATTTAGTTAAAGATTCAAACTCAGGCCACTGTTTTATTCAATGCTATGAAGAACAGTGTTGAAGCCCGTGTTTAGACTGACAAAAGCAGGTTTTTTAATAAATTAAAGAAGAGATCTCAACCATAAACTTTAAATGGAAAAGTTTGCTCAGAGATGAATTGAATATCAATTATATTATTGACCAAACTATCTCAGTAATTTAACTTTCCACTGCTAGAGGTATTAACCAAAGGCAGTTGCAATGAGTACTTGAAGATTAGGAAACAACATTCCGAAGTTTGTTACAACAGTAGTCTCTGCTAGCTTAGCATGGGCAAGGAAGTGAGAAGAAATGGAATCTCAAGGAAGAAATTGTTATGTTCCTTGAAGGACATTGACTAATATTTCTAATATTAAGAGATGAAGACAGACTTCATGTTTTCATCGGAAGTATTGCACATGAAATGTATGTGCATGTTAAATCTTTTCAAACAAAGCTTTCCCGTTTCTCCAGGCAAGCAAGTGAAAACAGGTTTTGTCATTTTCATTTGTTGAAAGGTGAAACTATTTCTAGTGAAATGGTTGAAAAGTGCAAGACTTATTTAAAATTCTTTGATTGTGGAATTTGAAAACTAATTTTCAGACGTCAAAAACTTTGAATCAGTTTTCAATACACTCAGCTCACCAATTAGTGAAGAAGCTCTAGAGGACATACCTCCAAGTAAATTATGAGCTGAAAGAGAAGTTCCATTCAATTATTCCGCGGGAGTTTTATGAGTGCCAGAAGCTGTATTTCCACACTTAAAAAACTTTCCTGCTAAACTTTCACATTATTTTTGTGCACAATGGCACATACATCTGTAAACAAACATTTTTTCTGTTTGAAAATAAACAAGTATAGGAACAGGTTGATGCCCACTGACTGTAATTTGACAGCAGTCACAAAGATAACTAGCAAGCTAGTTCCACAATTCTGGAACATTATGCACGAGTGTTAAAAGTAAAACTCAACATAAGTACAACTGTTCATTTGTGGTGATATTGTGAGATGTAAACAGACGATAACAAAATTTTAAAAAACAATTATTGTAAAACTATTTCAGAAATTGCTAACTGGGAGTGTAAAAAATTAAATGTAAATGTATAACAGTATAAATGTGAATTTAAAAAAGTTATACACAGTTAGCTAGCTTATTTTTTTTTGTTGCAAGTACACATATAGTGCTTTTTGTGATGGTACGCACCGGTACGGCGTAGTGGCAACTTTTTCAATGTGGAGAAATTTGTATTACTGTTCTAGTATTTTGACATTTATTATTAATTTATTTGCAGTTAAACGTTAGGCAACCCATCAATGAGTACCGACACCTATTTTTTTTTTCTTAACAAAAAAAAAAAAAAAAAAGCCCTATATATATGCGGCCCCCCATACAAAAAAATTGTGTGTAATGCGGCCCTCGTTAGGAAAAGGTTGCCCACCCCTGATCTAGATAAAAGCCTAAATATATATAGAATATATCAGTGATGAGGGCCAAATTAATTTTATAACAATCGTGTCGCGGGCCACAAGACTGAAAAGGTATGAAAATGAAAAGAAATTGACCTAAAACAATTTTAATAGAAACCGGTTTATCTAGTAGTTACTACTTACTGTGCTTACATTAATTAATATATCTGAAAGTGTTTTTTTTTTGCGTTGGAAACTGGTTTCATTTCTCTAC